TGATCCACCCGCCTCGGCCTCCCAAAGTGCTGGGATTACAGACTTGAGCCACCGCGCCCGGCTAGTTTTTTATTTTTAGTAGAGACAGGGTTTTACCATCTTGGCCAGGCTGGTCTTGAACTCCTGACCTCGTGATCCACCTGCCTCGGTCTCCCAAAGTGTTGGGATTACAGGCGTGAGCCACTGCGCCCGGCCAACATATTGTCTTTAAACAACAAAACAAAAGCTGGGATATGAGGTCCTGTGGACCACAGTTTTACAGCCTACTGAGGTATCAGATGACCTTTCTGAAACCCCAATCCAGCCAGTTACTTATTCCAGCTTCTATCCTATAAAAGGCCTTTCCTACCTTACGGACTGGTGAGCCTATGCCAAGGAACACAGCACTTAGGCTGCAGATTGTGAGGGTAAGCACCCCTCCCTCAGGTCTCTTAGACAAGAGGGGAGTTGGTATTTAGGATCAATGAGGGTAAAGGGCTGTTGATTAATGTAGGAAGGTGGCTCGAAAGACATCTCAGTTTAGAACCTCAGGCTGACTGTTTCTCATTCTTACCCTTTTTCCCTTTCCTTGGCAGGTCCTTGGATCCCTGACCCCCTAGGTGAAGTGGAGACAGCCCAAGGGCAGCACCCCCTGGCCCACATGCCTACCAAATGCTGCCATTTCGTCTGCACCAAGAAGGGTAAGTGGGGGTCCAGGCCATGGGGAAAGGGACCCTGTCTTTTATTTATTTATTTATTTTATGATTTATTTTATTTTATTTTTTTAAGATGGGGTTTCACCGTGTTGGTCAGGCTGATCTTGAACTCCCAACCTCAGGTGATCTGCCCGCCTTGGCCTCCAAAGTGGTTGGATTACAGGCGTGAGCCACCACGCCCGGCATTTTTTTTTTTTTTTCAGGGGACCCTGTCTTAAATCAGCTCCACTGCTACAATACCATAGAGTGGCTGACTGAAACAACAGAAATTCTCTCTCACAGTTCTAGAGTCTGGAAGTCCAGGATCAAGGTGCTGTTAGATTCAATGTCTGCTGTGGGCCTACCTCCTAGTTCACAGGCAGCCTCCTCCCTGCTGTATCCACATGATCCATCTGCTTTTCAGTCTACATCTTGCCTGAGGTCTTCTTGAGGGACTAGGACAGACAGCAAAAGGCTGAGGGACATGCTCTGCTCTTGTGTTCCAGGAAGAATGGGGTCTGGCTGCTTGTTCTCATGGTCCAGTAACAAGATGCAGACAGACTGGGGAAGGGGTTAGTTAGTTAGTTATTTCAGATACAGTCTCACTCTGTCGCCAAGGCTCACTGCAACCTCTGCCTCCTGGATTCAAGTGATTCCCCTGCCTCAGGCTCCGGAGTAGCTGGGATTATAGGCATGTGTCACCATGCCCAGCTAATTTTTGTAGTTTTAGTAGAGACACAGTTTCACCATGTTGGCCGGGCTGGTCTCGAACTCCTGACCTCAGGTGATCCACCCGCCTTGGCCTCCCAAGGGAGTTTATTTTTGCAGCCTGTTACAGGGAGGTCAAAGTAACTTATCACACCAACTCAGGTACAAGTTTTTTCCAGTGCTTATATACATTCTAAGCTCTATACCTACCTGTGGGAGTGCACCTATAAAGAGAGTGTTTCATTCAGTCTATATCTAATTTTTAAGTAGGGTCTGGGGTCTGGAAAGCTTTCTCTAGAGCCTTGGAAAGCTGCTTAGTCTTAGGTGGGCCCTCGTACAAGGAGTACGTATAAGAATGCTTTGTTGGCTGGGCGCAGTGGCTCATGCTTGTAATCCCAGCACTTTGGAAGGCCAAGGCAGGCAGATCACCTGAGGTCAGGAGTTTGAGACCAGCCTGGCCAACATGGGAAACCCCATCTCTACTAAAAATACAAAAATTAGCCAGACATGGTGGTGTGGGCCTGTAATCCCAGCTACTTGGGAGGTTGAAACAGGAGAATCGATTGAACCCAGGAGGCAGAAGTTGCAGTGAGCTAAGATCCCACCACTGCACTCCAGCCTGGGTGACACAGCAAGACTCCGTCT